CAGAAAGCTACTAGAGCTAATCAATGAATTTGGTAGTGTTGCAGGATACAAAATTAATGCACAGAAATCTCTTGCATTCCTATACACTAATGATGAAAAATCTGAAAGAGAAATTAAGGAAACAGTCCTATTTACCACTGCAACAAAGAGAATAAAATACCTTGGAATAAACCTACCTAGGGAGACAAAAGACCTGTATGCAGAAAACTATAAGACACTGATGAAAGAAATTAAAGATGATACCAACAGATGGAGAGATATACCATGTTCTTGGATTGGAAGAATCAATATTGTGAAAATGACTATACTACCCAAAGCAATCTAGATATTCAATGCGTTCCCTATCAAATTACCAATGGCAGTTTTTACAGAACTAGAACAAAAAATCTTAAAATTTGTATGGAGACACAAAAGACCCTGAAGATCCAAAGCAGTCTTGAGGGAAAAAATGGAGCTAGAGGAATCAGACTCCCTGACTTCAGACTATACTACAAAGCTACAGTAATAAAGACAATATGGTACTGGCACAAAAACAGAAATATAGCTCAATGGAACAGGATAGAAAGCCCAGAGATAAACCCACCCACCTATGCTCAACTAATCTATGACAAAGAAGGCAGGGATATACAATGGAGAAAAGACAGTCTCTTCAACAAGGGGTGCTGGGAAAACTGGACAGCTACATGTAAAAGAATGAAATTAGAACACTCCCTAACACCATACACAGAAATAAACTCAAAATGGATTAGAGACCTAAATGTAAGACTGGACACTATAAAACTCTTAGAGGAAAACATAGGCAGAACACTCTTTGACATAAATCACAGCAAGATCTTTTTTGATCCACCTCCTAGAGTAATGGAAATAAAAACAAAAATAAACAAATGGGACCTAATGAAACATAAAAGCTTTTGTAAAGCAAAGGAAAGTACAAACAAGACAAAAGGGCTTCCCTGGTGGCGCAGTGGTTGAGAGTCCGCCTGCCAATGCAGGGGACACAGGTTCGTGCCCTGGTCCGGGAAGATCCCACATGCTGTGGAGCAGCTGGGCCCACGAGCCATGGCCACTGAGCCTGTGTGTCCGGAGCCTGTGCTCCGCAACAGGAGAGGCCAAACAGGGAGAGGCCCGTGTACCGCAAAAAAATAAATAAATAAAGACAAAAAGAAAACCCTCAGAATGGGAGAAAATATTTGCAAACATATCAACGGACAAAGAATTTATCTCCAAAATATATAAAGAGCTCATGCAGCTCAATATTAAAAAACCAACCCAATCATAAAGTGGGCAGAAGACCTATATAGACATTTCTCCAAAGAAGAGATACAGATGGCCAAGAAGCACCTGAAAACCTGCTCAACATCACTATTAGAGAAATGCAAATGAAAACTACAATGAGGTATCACCTCACACGAGTTAGAATGGGCATCTCAGAAAATGTACAAACAACAAATGCTATAGAGGGTGTGGAGAAGTGGGAACCCTCTTGCCCTTTTGGTGGGAATGTAAATTGATACAACCACTATGGAGAACAGTATGGAGGTTCCTTAAAAAACTAAAAATAGAACTACCATATGACCCACCAATCCTACTACTGGGCAGGTACCCTGAGAAAACCATAATTCAAGAAGAGTCATGTACCACAATGTTCATGCAGCTCTATTTACAATAGCTAGGGCATGGAAGCAACCTAAGTGTCCATTGACAGATGAATGGATAAAGAAGATGTGGCACATATATACAATGGAATATTACTCAGCTATAAAAAGAAATGATATTGAGGAGTTTGTAGTGAGCTGGATGGACCTAGAGTCTGTCATACAGTGTGAAGTAAGTCAGAAAGAGAAAAACAAACACCGTATGCTAACACATATATACAGAATCTAAAAAAAAAAAAAAGAAAAGGTCATGAAGAACCTAGAGGCAGGATGGGAATCAAGATGCAGACCTACTAGAGAATGGACTTGAGGATATGGGGAGGGGAAAGGGTAAGCTGGGACAAAGTGAGAGAGTGGCATGGACATGTATACACTACCAAATATAAAACCGATAGCTAGTGGGTAGCAGCCACGTAGCACAGGGAGATCAGCTCGGTGCTTTGTGACCACCTAGAGGGGTGGGATAGCGAGGGTGGAGGGAGGGAGATGCAGGAGGGAAGAGATATGGGGATATATGTATATGTATAGCTGATTCATTTTGTTATAAAGCAGAAACTAACACACCATTGTAAAGCAATTATACTCCATTAAAGAAAAATAATATAAAAATTAAGAAAAAAAAAGATGTGGTACATATACACAATGGAATATTACTCAGCCATAAAAAGGAACAAAATTGGGTCATTTGTAGAGACGTGGATGGATCTAGAGACTGTCAAACAGAGTGAAGTAAGTTAGAAAGAGAAAAACAAATATCGTATATTAATGCATATATATGGAACCTAGAAAAATGGTACAGATGAACTGGTTTGAGGGGCAGAAATAGAGACACAGATGTAGAGAATAAACGTATGGACACCAAAGGGGGAAAGTGGCGGGGGTGGTGGTGGTGGTGGGATGAATTGGGAGATTGGGATTGATATGTATACACTAAGATGTATAAAACGGATAACTAATATGAACCTTCTGTATAAAAAAATAAATAAAATTCAAAAATTCAAAAAAAAAAAAGCTCTAAGGTTAAAAAAAAAAGTCATCTCTTGTCAGAAGGCCATTTGCCTAGAGGCAGTGCAGAACTGGAAGCATTTTGTCATTTCAGCTCCCAAAAGTTTAGTCAGTTCTCAAAAGCCTGTGCCTGATTTGCTGGCCTGGCTTGTAACCTCAGTGGAAGCACAAGTTCAATTGAGGGTGTGTTTGATTTAAAATTAAGAAATTGACATGACTTTCACCCTCAATTTATTTTTGGAAAAGGGATATTGTATTTAGTTACATAAAGCAGTTTGTCTGGTGATAATTAAAAGAATGGCGTGTCGGTTCAGACAGCCTCCATGAAGGACAGGTAAGATTTTAAAAAGAACTGAATTTCATGTTTCTGTGGAAAGTGTAATAGGACCTGTTCTGCCCGGCAGTTGTCCCACTTGTCCTGTCTGGCCTGTCTGTAGAAGGATTCACGGGGACCCAGACCCAGCAGCCTGGGAAGGGAGAGGTCCAGCACTTGGGATGAGAGGTGGGGGCGACAGCTGATGGATGGAAACAGGCAGAGGGAAGCTGGTAAACAAACTGAGGTCCTGATTGCTGGCAGGTGGTGGTTTCACGGAGCATGGCCAGCCGAGCGGCAGGGCACAGAGTGAGGTCTGTAATGGTCAGGGGACCAGGTAAGCCGGTTATCATCCTCCTAGGCAGCCTCAGGAGACGGGCCTGGAGCTCCAAGTCCCTCCTGACTTTGGTCAGGACCGGTCTTGGGGCTCTCGGAGAGAATGTCCAGACAGGAGGGCTTCGCAGGCAGGGCTCAGCAGCTCCCAAATCAACAGGGTGCACCCTGGTTGTGTTGGCTGAATTCTTAATTTGGAATTTGATGTGACAGTCAGATGATCTCATCTTTGCTGACTTCTGTGCCTTCTAAAAATCCCCTCTGTCTTTCCCATCCTGTCCTGTCCTGTCCTTTCCTCTCGAGTAGACTGATGAAGAGGATGAAGTTGAGGTAGGATGTTTATAAACACAAAGAATGCCACGTGTGACCTTCTCAAGCGTGCCGTATAATCTAACCTGACATAAGCAGCATGAAGTGTCAGCCCCGTTCAGTGCTTTAAACCTTGCATGACTGTTTTCTGCTGGGTTTCCATGTGATCACTAACCCCCTTACACGGGTTCTTATCATGATGTGTGTGCCAGGGACTGACTGAAGGGTAACTGCATTTTCCAAGCTGTCCCTGAGTTCCAGGCCCTGTCAAAAGTGGCAGGGTCAGCAGATCTCTTCCTACTGATGGACAAATGGACAGAGGGGTGGGATGGGCAGCAGCTCCTCCCCCTGACCCTGGTGCAGATGCCAGAACCAGAGACCAAGGCAGGGCTGCTCAGCCCTGAAGGATGAGGAAGGAGCTGTGCAGATGGTACAAGTCACGGATGTGTCCCAGGCTCTAGCACCAGGGCTCATACACTGGATACAAAGAGGGAGCCAGAAGTCTATGGAGCTGCTCTTTGCAAACGTTATTCTAACCGACTTTTTATTTTTCATCCAGATGTTTGGCATTGTGTGCATATGGCCTGATATTCTAGCATACCTCTTGTAAAACATATATGCTGTCTTTGTTCAGCTAGAATTAGAGAATATCATCATGTGAGTGTAATGCTTGTGAAAACAACTAAATTTTTGACACAAGGAGAAGTAGTGAGTGTTGCCAAACTCAGTTTCAGCATGAATTTCTGTGCCATGTTCTGATCTGGGCCCTGAATCAAAGCCTTTTGGGGCCTTTGGCAAGTCATTTAATCTTGGATGGCCTCAGTTTCCTTCTCTGTAAAGTGAGGTGGGACTAGTTCTGGAAAAATCCTTCCCAGCTCCTAACACTGTATGATTCTGTAACTGAATCCCACTTTTCAACTTGTACCATCTTAAGCGATATATGAGAAACTTCTAACTGCTTTCTGGCACTACGTTTTAAAAAATAAACCTCACTATATTTGATAAACAAGCATATTTCAATGCTCCTATCAAGGCTGTGGTGTTAGAAACAGATTTGGTTTCTGAATTTTTCCCAGAGTTGAAGTCTTTTGCCCCTTGCTGGCTCCCGCTGAGGGGATCTGCAGTGAGCTGGGTGACCCACTACCTGGAGGGATGGGTGTGGTCCTTCTGGGGCCAAGGCTTCTCTTTCTGATAAGAGAACTTCCTGGATATGCAGATGCTTTGTCATTAGTTCATTGACCCCTCATTGACTGCCCATCACTAACTTGTTTGCAGAATGCACGTAAACAAAAGACAGAGAAGAGATGGCTTTCCTCAACTAAAGGTTTTCTAAGCTCCAGTTGGCTTTTAGTCACCTCACGCCCTAACCCCCCTTGCTCTTGCAGTCTGGCAAGTTCTCCAGCGGTTCCCCGGCGCCCCCGAGCCAGCCCCAAGGCCTGAGCTATGCCGAGGATGCTGCCGAGCATGAGAACATGAAGGCTGTGCTGAAAACCTCGTCCCCTGCCTTGGAGGATGCCACCCCCGTGCTGGGCGTCCGCACACGCAGCCGAGCAAGCCGAGGTAACGCCCTCTTCCAGGGTGGCCACCCCATGGTGTCTGTCCCCGCCACAGGGTACAGATCACTGTGCCCAGGAAGTGGCTGCCCAGGGCCGTCCACTCCCCAGGGTTCTCCGTGCTGACGTCATCATACTTTCCTTCACTCACACCTTTGTGACCCACCTTCAGTAGCTTCATCTCAAAAACAAGCAACCCTTCCCAAAAGCACAACTTAATTCGAACAAGAGGAATTAGCATTGTGAACGAATCCTCATGGGTTAAAGCCCCCAGGCCAAACTGAGCCAGCCATTTATTCTTGTAAATAAGGTCTTCTTGGAACGCAGCCACCCTTCCTTGTGTGTGTGTTGTCTAGGTGCTTTTGCACTGCGGTGGCAGAGTTGGGGGGTTGCGACGGAGACTACAGGGACCATAGAGACTAATGTTTTTACTCTCAGGTGGGGTACAGAAAAAGTTTGATGACCCTTGGATTAAAACGCTATCCCTTTTTGCTTCTGAAATCCTTGGAGGCAGAGAGGAAACTAAAACTTCAAGATGGTAAAGACAGATAAGAGTTTCCAGGTTTGTTTCATAAGGTGGAAGGGACTTTTTGTTTTAATTAAGAATTGAGATGCACTTTGCATCTGAGAATGTTTACCGGTATTTCCCTGGTCTAGTCTGATGCCACATGAACCTTCCTAAGTTTCCTCGCTGCCTGCAGGATCCAGCCCACTCGATTCATGCTGTTGTTTGAGGTTCCCTGGGGTCTGGTCCCCTCCTGGCTCCCACACTTGGCTTTCACTCAGCCCCACATTGTGGGCAGTGCCCTACTCTGCACACCCTGTGTCTGCCTGAGCCCCTGCCGTTGCTCATCCCGTCCCCTCTCCTCTGCCTGTCCCCTCTTCACCTCCAGAATCCACCTCCTCCGCGTTCTCTGCCTTGCCACGTACTCCTGAGACCCCAGTTTAGGTCTCAGAAACTTAAAAACTTTATAACTAAAGAGGATGAACTCCTGGAGGACCAGCTTTGTCCTCTTGGTGTTTGCTTAGCACACAAGCTAGAAGAAACCATGTATTTATTGCCCACATTGGAATGTTTTAGTGTGTAAAAGGGGTTCAAGTAGTAATTACAGTGGGAAAATAAATAAAACTGTGCAGTCTGGGTGAACTGGATCATGGGTTACCTTACACGTCACAGAACCTCAGTAACGAATGAGTGTGTGCAGCACCCATCAGGCCCTTGCTAGGCTCCAGCGTACATCCAGGCTCACGAGATGTTAGAAAGGCAGCCAAAATCTAGAGGGCTGTGATCTGGAGAAAGTCCTGAGAAGACCCAACAGTGACTTCTATCTAGCTTTGCTGACTGCCCTTTTTTTTTTTTAATTTTAATTTTGCTGTTGTCAACTATGTTAAGTATTAAAAAATGATGATAGGAATAACAACTTTAACATAAAAGAAAAAACAACGGCAGTTCCAGGTGTTCTTTGGCAGGAAGGGAGTCACGTGGTACATATGGTTTCTTGTAGCTTCTTGTGAACCAAGGGCCACAAGCTCCTCTAGAGGAGGAGGGTTGAAGGGGCTTCCAGGCTGAGTTCTAGATCCGTAAGGTTTACACAGGATTCCCAAGTGGAGCTGCACTTCAGGCTATTTTATAAATGACCAAATGTTTTTCTTATTTCATATGAGTGCAGTGTCACTGAATCTAGTTCCTTCTCCTCTTCTCAACGTTGGACCTTTAACAGGGCCTTTACTCTGTGATATACAGCTTAGACTATGCCGGAAAAAGGGCCGCCTCCACCCACCCTTCCCCAGTGTTATCCTGCCTGAGACACAGATGATACGTAGAAAAGTCATCCCTCCTACTACAGTCTTGATTCCCAGACTATACCCCAAATACATGCAGGTATTATTATTACATCAAAGAATCACAGGTTAGGTTCTCTGGGATTTGGTCTTTCCAAACCCTCTGACTTGTAGGTAGTTTTGGATGTGGAATTAGGGAAAGAAAATAAATTACGCTTTGGCAACACAAAGGCAGACTTTTGGTGACCAACATCAGACAGACGCAGCTGTGACAAGCCACAGTCCTGAGCACTTCGTGTGGGACATTCTGATCGTCTGGTTTTCTATGTGGAAAGAAAGGTGCCCTCTTCTTGGCCAGTGCTGTCTATAAAACGCCTCCATTTCTCAGAAAAACCAAGAAGTGACAGGAGAGAAAGAGTGTGTAAATAAGGCAGAATATAAGAGGAGAGAAGAAAGTGGGGAAGGTCAGAAGTTGAAGAAAATTATAGCATTAAATGCTGAGCAGTAGTGACTGTCAGTCTAGACAAAGTGTAAAACAAGGATAAAAATAAAATAAAGCAGCTTTGCAGTGTTGGGGGGTATGGGGATGGGAATCACTGGTCTCCCAAAAGGCCTAGGACATCCCATGCACGAGTCTGTCTGTGCCTCAGCAGCTCTTGCAGGCTTTGTCTGCTAGGCTAACCGTGGACACCAGGAGATCAAGGGCAGCATTAGTACCTGCGCCACAGTGACCCCAGCCATCAGGAGTCTTGAGCCACTGTACCTTGGTGGATGCAAGGGTAGTGCAATGAAAGCCACCTTGGGAGATGGAGTCCAGTATCTGTAATGGAACGTAACATGCTGTGCTAATTTTAAAAGAGAAAATAGAAAATCCTTCTTGACTGGAAAGGACAAAGAGAAAAAGATATTGCTAGGTTTGTACAATATGGGTTCCTTTTCACTAATTGATGAAAGGGATTAGAAAGGAAAGCTATTCAGTTTCTCTGCACATGCAGAGACTTCTGCTTCCAGGTGGCATGTCGTAGGGAGGAACAAGCCACCACTCCTGCTGCCATAACCAGAAACTTTAATAAAATAACAAAAGCTTTCTCTCAAAATCCATCCGGGAACTGTGAAAGGGAAGAGGACTAGACAAACTAGAATTCTAGGTGAGCTGAGAGCACCTCTCTAAGAGCATTTGCCAAGTCTGGGCACAGGCTGAGAATTGGACTTGCCATGCGCAGAGTGACTTTAACAGTAAAGAGAAGCCAGCAGGACTTCTAGTGGTCATGTGAGCTGGCGTAAGAGGTTGGAGCTAGAGGAGCTTCAAATGCAGACAGTTTTCTCCATGAGACATTTGCTAAGTGCTGGGGCAGCATGGGGAGGGGGAGGCTGGGCCAGAAAGGCTGCAGGAAATCTCCTACAGTCTTGAAGTTCTGAGGAAACAAAGACAAGCTAGAGTAAGCGCCTTCAACAAATGCATACAGGTAGTTAAAGACAGAATATTTAAAGACAGGGGTGGACTGATACTCAATGAAAACTGCTATCTGGCCCCAACCCTGCTCAGTCCTTCACTGTGTCTGCTTAACAGGAAGTGGTAAAGACTGGAGAAAAATGACACCGACTTCAGTCTCTGCATTCTTTTCTACACAAAGTCCAGTGCGTAGTCAAAATTATGAGCCAAGAGAACATGAAAACATGGCTGACAAGAAGAAAAGTAGAGCAGCAGATCCACAGGTGATCCAGATGTTGAAATTTGCAGTCAAATTTAACCATTTATAAGTGTTAACAAAAATAAAAGGAAAATAGAGACAAATTGATAAAAAGGTTGAAATTTATAAAAAAGAATCAAATGGAAATTCTAGAACTGAAAAAAAGAAAGATCTGACATGATTAAATGATATCATGGGTTTAACAGCAGACTGGTCCCAGCAAAAGAGATTAGTGAATTCAAACAACACGGGTTAATAGAAAATGTACAAACTGAAGCATGGTGAGAAAAAATAGAAAAAATGGAACAAAATGTAAGAGATATGTGGGACACAGTCAAATGGTCTAATGTGTCTGTAACTGGAGTACCAGAAAGAAAAGATGGGTAAGAAGAAAAATTAAAGAAACAATGGCTGAGAATTTCCCAAAGGCTCATGATAGATATCAACCCACATATTTAAAACACGTAACAAATCCCAAGGAGAGTAAACGCAAAGAAAACCACATCTAGGCATACCATGGGCAAACTGCCAAAAACCAAAGATATAAATAAAATCTTTAAAACAGCCAGAGAGAAAAGAATGTACTTTCTAAGGAGCAACAGTAAGAATGATGACTCACTGTTGACAGAAGCCATGGAAGTCAGAAGAAAGTGGAATGGCATCTTTAAATTGCCAAAAAGAGAACTTTCTAAACTAGAAGTCTATACCCAGGGAAATTCTTTCAAAAACAAAGGTAAGAGTTTATTACATTAATATAATATCTATTTGGATATAATTATTTTCCTTTTAGACTATTTCTTTAAGTTACATTTTTAAGGGAAAAATTAGTTACAGTGTTTTCTTTCAAACTACAGTTTACATATTTTCAAAAGTAAAATTCAAATAAAGTGATATAGTCCTATCATGGTCTATAATGCTTTATCCCCTCCACCATATCTCTATCTATATATATTACCTATAATAATTTTATAGACATCTCAGTATATATAAATGCCTGGCTAACACTTGGGAGACCATGGGGAGCCAAATGGCCCCTTGGAGTCTGTAAGTTATGGGCAGTGTTCTCCTGTGGCTGTATGTGAGTGCAGAGGTTCCAGAAAGAGAAGCATATACACGACCAAGAAGAATGGGCATAAATGGTAATCGGGTAGTGACAACAGTAACCAAGGGGAAAGGGGATAAGAAAGCAGAACCAAGAATGAGGTCATGAGAAAATGATGGCATCACAAAACTGAGTCTGACAGTCCTGGACAAATGGCAAGATGTTCCTTGTAAGCATCTCCTGACCCATCACAGTGAAAGCAGATTCCCAGGAATGTATAAGATGAAAGTATAGGTAATTCTCATGGAAAGATCAGATGATGCCTTCATTTCTGGCTCATCAGGAGCAGATTATATTATATTATGAGCAAAGACACTTGATCGAGCTTTGTGTGTTTTGGGAAGGGTAGCTTGGCATTTCAAAATGAGGCACAGAATTATAAATCAGTAGGTAAAATGGAAAACAGGAAATTGCTGGGCAAAAAGCAATTGCTGTATTGATGGCTCTGCTATGAGGAGGGCTGTGGTTCAGAGGCTCTGCAGAGCCCCAGCCTGAGAGCTGTGCCACTATGAGGCCTCTTGCCTCCAACTTGAACACCTGGACCAGCCTGAGAATGCAGAAAAATTCAGCAGTTTCAAATATTCGTTTCTGAGAAGAACATATTTTTAAAGGGTTTTATGATGCTGAAAAAGCTAGTCTTCTGATGGAAGCAAGTAGATCAAACTCCCTTGGGCACAAGCAGAAAAAGTAAAATGTCCTGACTTTGTATATCCCAGTGTTGTAGGTCTGTCCCCGCTCATAACGCAAAACGCTTTTTATAAATGACCACAACAAAAACGTTGTCATCAGAAAGCATTGTTGTCCTGTGGCCACAGGTCTCAAATAGTGCAGGTGGTCCAACACTGGAATCCTGGTACTCCTTTTGCAACGTGTTTATTTAATTCAGTCATGTGAACTTTACTAGCAGAAATTATGACTAAATTATAGTATATTACATATTTGCAGTGAACTTTCAACCACAAACACATGTCTATAAAATGTGCCGTCTACTGAACTGTAATCAACTATTCCCAACTATTTCTATCAATATCCAAACACCGAAAGTTTTGAAAAATTAGTATAGAAATATAGAATTCAAAATGTAAGATATATATTTACTAACATTTTTTCACCTGTGGTTTGAGAAAAGCTGACTGTTCTTCAGCTTTAGCTGGACCTTGGACAAGTTCAGGTACCTGTGTTCCATAAACATAAAAGTCTGAGAACACTCACCTGCAGGATTTTAAAGTTGTATGTCTATTACAAAGAGAAGTATAGGTCGAGGAAATTCACAATTTTGAGCACACTGTACATCTTTCTTCTTACAGAAGCCTATTTCCCATCTTAGAGAAGAGATTTCACAAGGAAGTTGATCAGTCACGAAGGCACAGTTTTTGATGAATTAAAATAGCATTCATTTCTAAGTGTTTCATATGACTCGGGAACCCATGTTTTTGTGGTATTTTCTTCTTGCTGGTCTAAGGGCAGATGCTTTTATGCCAGACTTGGACTGTCTTAACATACAGCTATTTATAAACATATTTTTTTCTGGTCAGGGAGCAGATGAATGTACCAAAGAAAATGTTGTGTTAACTCCCTTTTCCTGGTAGAAGAGGGCAATCCTGTTATTATTTTTAAAGGCTAGTTAATCCAAAGATAAGCTATATGTTACAAAATCCATTGATTTTTATTTAACTGAATGAGAAATTAGGGCTAATTGACATTCACTAGGCACATACAACCACAGATGGGGAGCTGACTTAACAAATGTCTCTGGACATTTCTGGAAGCACTCTACTGGGTATCTGTGATGTACATAGTGGCACACGGCATGGGAAGTCTGCCCTTCCACGACCACAGGACCTGGCAGGTGGAGGCACATCCACGACAGTGAGAGATGACAACACAGCTGTGTGACAGGGTAGTATGACGTAAGGGCCCCAGGTATGGACTCATGGGAGGTCAGAATCTGGAGGGTGATGGTCACAGGTCACTGTGGTGCCCCTGCAGTGGGGACGGGGGAACACCCTTAGATCCATCAGGAGGTTCAACCCTGGCTCTGGCCTCTGCTGTGCTCTGTGGCTGATGAGCTTGGCTGCTTCAGGAGCAGTGCTGTGTTTTCCTTCTCTCTGAGTACCTCGTGCTCTCTGGTTGTTTAATTCTTCAGGATCCACTAGTTCGTGGACCATGGGAATGGATGACTCGCCTAATGTCACGGATGATGCAGCTGATGAGATCATGGACCGCATCGTCAAGTCAGCCACCCAAGTGCCCAGTCAGCGAGTGGTGCCGCGGGAGAGGAAGCGCTCCCGGGCCAACCGGAAGTCTCGTAAGTGCCTTGGAGTTGGGATGTGGGACTCTGCCTGCAGGGACCAGCCCTCCAGTTCTGTATGACCCAGGAAGGGCAGGGACTCAGGGGTGGGCTCCGGTGAGTTGTCAGTGGTGCCCCGAGGGCCCACCTGTGCCCATCGGCAAAAGAGTTCGTGCTGGACAGTCGGCATTGGCCACTAGGGAGGAGGGATGCTGCAGCCACCTGTCCAGTGTATTTGCTATTTCTGGTCAGGCCTCCCCCAATTCACACTTTGTCCCCAGGAAGGTGTGAAAGACCCTTAGATGACTCTGATGTGCAGGGGTGGGCACAGTGGGACCCGTTGCCAAGTACTGCCCTGGATGCTTTGCTGAGGCCATATTATTGCCCCTCACCCAGCATCAGGGGCTACTTTCTGGGCTGGAGACTGTTCCCCCAGGGGTTCACTGCTGCTCATGAACATGCTGAAGGTGAAACCAGGGGTAGCAAGCGATTTTTGGTCCTTAGGATGCTTAAAATAATTCATGTTAGCCTAGGTTCACCAGTTGTGTTTTGTTCCTACCAAACAGAGGATTCAAAGCGACTTATTCGCCCTTGTAGTCTCAGCCTGTTACCTGCCCCTATCCGCCGAATGACGGGTGTGGAGTTGCCTCTGTGGGCACCATGCTGACTCTCACAGGGATGGCTCACTGTAGAGAAGCAGGGTTCTCTGAACCTTTGACATCTGCCTTCATGGCCGTGGCCCTAGTGCATTTCAGAAGAGACCTCAGCCCCCAAGCTTTGGCCTGGTGCTGGTCACTGAAGGTCAATCCCTAGGACAGGGATTTATGATGTTTTGTAAAGAGGAAATCTGGCTGCCTCCTCATTTCCTGGCTCCCAAAAGTGAAAGGAGGGAGAGTGGCTGTCAGGAGGCAGGAGTTCAGTAAGAACTCATACTCAGAGCCCCCCAGGCGCTGCCACCTTTGAGATTCGTACAAGAGGTGACTGAGTTTTGGGCTGCATATTTTGGACGCCTTGGTTCTGTTTGACCCGTTGACATGCTTGTTTCCAGGGTAAAGAACAGTAAACCAAATTGCTGCAGACTCTCGGACCCTGCTCCTTTTATATCATTGGCTTTAGATTCTGACAGGAATTTTTTCCCAGAAAAGAAAGTATCACTTGACACTTCCACCAGGGAGAAGCAGAGTTTCTCAAACCACAGAACTTGGGGGCTGGGGCTGGGGGATGTGATTCTCATTCAGTGAGATGGGTGGCTGAGAGTCTGTTTTCACCACACTCCTAGATGAGGTCCATCCTGCTGGTACACACTTTGAGTAACTTTTTTTTTTTTTTAAAGACTTTAATTTTTGCTGTGTTGCATCTTTGTTTCTGTGCGAGGGCTTCCTCTAGTTGTGGCAAGCGGGGGCCACTCTTCATCGCGGTGCGCAGACCTCTCACTATCGCGGCCTCTCTTGTTGCGGAGCACAGGCTCCAGACGCGCAGGCTCAGTAGTTGTGGCTCACGGGCCTAGTTGCTCCGCGGCATGTGGGATCCTCCCAGACTGGGGCTCGAACCCGTGTCCCCTGCATTAGCAGGCAGATTCTCAACCACTGTGCCACCAGGGAAGCCCCTGAGTAACTTCTTGAACTGTGGCTCTCAACCATGGCTGCACATTAGAACTTTCTGCAGAGCTTTAAAAATTCCAGGTGTCTGGGCTGTACCCAAGCTGACCACCTGAGAACCTCTGCGGTTGGGCCCTGCCCAGGCCCCTTGGGTGATTAGTGGCCTTAGGAGAAGGACTCTTGTTCCACTCTGTGCACCCCCTGCCACATTCCTTCTGTTTCTTAAATGGAAAACTATCATTCAGGGGCACTGGCTTTTTACATCTTCAGAAATATGTTTGTGGGCTCCAACATCAATATCTAAGACCTTTACATTTATTTTTTCCGACATTTCACTATTTCCTGGTGCTGCTGTGAATTCTTTGCCATTCTCTTGGTGCTCCCATGTAAGAACTTGGCTAGGGACTTGCTATTTAAAGTTGTTCCTCAGACAGTATGGGCACCTCTTGGAGGCTGGTTAGAAATGCATATTCATGGGGACCTCTCCAGGGCAACTGATTCAGAATCTGCATTTAACAAGACCCCCAGGGAACCCCATGCATGATAACATGGAGGGGGTCAACGGGGTATGAGGCCAGGACTGGAACTGCAGGATCCCCAGGTGTGCACATCTTGGGGAGCAAACTCATCTCCAAAGGGGTGAGGCTGACCCACACTCTCTCCACACTGCATGCTCCAGGCCAGGCCAGCAAAGCACTTGCCTTTTTGCCTGTCTGAAGTGTGTGAAATAGTATTCCTTATGGTTTTAGCTTACTTTTCCCTGCTAGTGTACTAGGAAGGTCGAGCCTCTCGTGATTTGCATCTCTTCTTTTGTGTATGGCTTGTCCATACCATTTGCCTGTTTTTCTCTTGCTCTTTTTCATGAACAGAAATCTCTTTCTTAAATAGTTTTTTAAATGAAACTTATGAGAGGCTTTTTCAGGTGCCTTAAGTAGATTATCTTCAGTATTTGCCCTTTATTGCCCTCCTCTTATTTACTTCAATAAACCAGTAACCAAATGGCAGAAATTTTGCACCAGTTAACGCCTGGCCTTCCTGCAGTGGGCAACCTTAGTGCAAGAGTCTCCACTGGGAGGAGCTGGGAAAAGCATGTGGGGAATCAGACCACGGGAGAGGAGTTGAGAAAGGATGCCAGGTCAGGGAGTGCCCTCCAGAAGGTGGGCAGGGTTGGGTCAGGGACCTCAGAAAAGGAGATTGCCTGAGAGGGGCCTGGCCCAGGGTATGTACTCCTCCTATAGGTTACATGTCTGTGTTGGCAAAGAGTGTTGGCCCTGCCCTCTGGTCTGGAGAGAACCAGATTCTTAGAGAGACACAGAATGTCACTGGGAACAATAACACAGTCATAATGAGTTTTCCTCTTCAAGCTGGCCAGAGAGAAATTTTGCCTGTTTTTGTGGTTGACATAAAATAATTTCCTGTGGTATCGTTTCCATTCCAATCTTATGCAAAACAGCCCTATATTCTTTTTATTTAGCCCAACACATTTTGTCCTGTGATGCAGTTACTACAACAAATACAGCACTGCATGTATGTAAATGTTTATCTGTAGCAGGTTTAATTAATTAGTAATGGCACCATCCACAGAAATGTAAGATGGGGGAAGTTACTTTGATTTCTAATATAAAGGGATGTAAACTCTAGCTTTTCATAAGAAGTTAAAGGAATGAGAAAAAAACAGTTTGCAAAATCGATGTGAAGTGTTGGGCTGGGGCCTCACCCTGAAACGATGCTGCGTTTGATTTGATTGTGTAATGGTGGCCATGTGGCAAGTGGATAAACGAATAACCAGCATATTTGGGCTATACCTCATTTGGCTAAAGACAATAATAGTCCAGCTATTGTAGGAAACCAAACAGAATCCAGCTCATAACCTAGAAATGTATGACCTGCAAGCCCCTCAAGAATACTCTGAGATGCTTAAAACATCTGCTTTCGTGTTTGATGCTGGTGGCTAGGCCTACATCCACCAAATGTCCTGCTTAAAGCCTGAAATATGCAGCCAGTTGGGACGCACTGAGGGCACCGTAATGGACTCGCAGGTTCCCAGGCTCTGCCCCTCCTGTTGTTTTCCCAGCTGGTGCCATCGGGGTCTCATTAAGTAAAATGTTGCAAATTGTCCAGTTGATTTCTAGCCTGTGAAATGGCAACACAACGCGCCTCATATGCTTCCCCAGATTCTGGCCACGGCTCTCGAGTCGGCTGGTGGAGATGGCCAAGGAGAGCGTTCTCCAAGCTCTTTGTTTTCTTCTTATTTGTGTTTCTCTTTTCATCATACTGGGGCAAGTCCTTTGTCCCGGGGCTACTTGTTCTCTTAGGCCTCCCGGATGTTGGTCTTCCCTAGAAAACCCTGAAGCTGACGGGCATCTGAGATCTCCTTCCCACTGTGATTCTGCAGGACGGGCCTGGGGCCTGGGGAAGAAAAGGACCCCTTGTGTTCTTTTCTGTGGGACCCAACTTCGGAAGAGGGTCTCTGCCCAGCTGGCTGTCTGCATGGAGCCATTACCCTGGACTATCACAGAGCAGAGCAGGGATTAGGGACTCATAGTTGGCCTTTTTCTCTTTCCTGCTAGAGAGGCAGAATGCCCCCTCTCCTGTTGAGTTTCTCTTCAAGGGGAGTCTGGGCCCCACCTGTGACATGACCATGCAGTTTTGGGCTCAGGGCTATATTTCTTTAAAAATGCAATCACTTCGATGTGACCTACACATAATCTAACAGTGTCTTAGGAACATAAGAACAGTTTCTCAATGGGAAGGGCCAGAAGCCTGATTCTAGGGGCTGCTAGGAAAGGAACACTGAACTCTGACTTGACTTCAGGCACTCATCTCACCCCATCTCTTATGAGGCTTCGACAGTCCTCTTGAAAGGCATGTGACATATTCACGTTGATTCGATATAACTAAAATCTTATTTTACAGAATATTGAGGGGTGTTGCCATGCTATCTGTTAAGTAGGATTCCGTGGAGAAGGAGAACGAACGAATCTGAAAAAAAAAAATATTGAATCTGTTTTAGGGAAAATGGGAGATATGCCTCACAAAATATTAGATTGATCCCTGGAACTGATCAGCACTCAGCTTAGTTTAGTTGTCTCTAATTTTCCAAAGTGGTATTTGAAAATGTTCAGGAATTTTCCCACTAATCCCATTAAGAAAAATTTCCCTGCGTGTTATTTACATAGTTCTTCCCTACTTAAAAATTTTATATTCTTTTATAGGGACAATGGAATGGGCCAGAGACTTTAAAACGGATGCTCTTAGAATACAGTAAAATAAGATGTTAGTGGAAAGGACCAAAGTTTCTCAATCGAATTTTTGTCTTCTCAACATCATTACTGTTTACTCAGCACCTCATTATTCTTCGAGCTCATTAAAGCTGGACTGATTCCTCCTCTAAAGACAGCTAAGGGCAGCCACCCTTGT